CATCGACGCTGGTACATTTGTATTTTACTTTCAGAGAAACGAAAATAATGAGATTAATTCGACTCATAGATTGGCTTTGAATGAAAAAAAAATACGAACAGCCAAAGAGCTAAAAGCCAAAGAGCTAAATTTGTAAACGGTTTCATGAGGAATTTTAGAACGATGCATGCCGGAACCGTCATATGATGGACGGCTGTTAGCTGTAAGCCATTTCATTCGAAATACAAAGCTAGACAATTACGGACAGTTGCCGAGGGGGTGTTAAGTCACAATGGAAATTACCAGCAGGAGAAATGGCCCGCTACAATGACAAGAGCTCATTCACAGGCACGCTTGCCAGTTTGCTTCTCGTGCCGCAAAAATTATCACGCAAGTTCAGAAGCAGCGGTCGCGCGGCGAACGCCACCGCATTCTTCCTATTCTGCTGACTACGGGGAACCTCAATGCTGGCCAATGCATGGGAGTATATTTCAGTGGAGTGAAATTTATAGCATCTACCAATTCTTCAATAGATGAATATCGCAAACGGAGCCTGAAATTAGATCCTATATTTCATTTGCGGCGTGATTGATAGCAATCTTCAAATACCATATCAACAGACGAAAATCACTCACAGCAGCCTAATGTTCCAGACTTCCAGAGATGTAGCAGGGAACTGAGGGAAGATTTACACTAGTACACTCTTTCTTCCCTGACAGGGATTTTCTTCCATATTGTGGTTTAAATAATTTTCTAATTTCAGGTCAAAAGAAAGGTAATATGAGCCTATAACAGCGTCCGGATTTCATTTTCAAGCAAGTAATTTGAATGAAACGGAATTCAAGATTCACAATAGACAACGCAGCGTTTCAAACAAATCTTGCGCTGTTCCCAGTTTCTTCCAGATTACGAAGATTCTCAATAATGTTCATTAGAATGACAAAATTGGGAGTTCGTTACACAGACGAACTTCAGCTACTCAAACCATAGTATAGAAACCACAGCAACTTTCAATAATTCGTGAATTAAATCAAATTTATAACAGCCGAAAATTGGACTATGAGTAGCAGGCAAATCAGAGCATTCGGCAGTTAAACTGTCTTTAACCGAAAACGGCAGTTAAAGTTCCCGAGCTCACTAGCTCAAGAGGACTTTATTAATAAGGTTCAACATAACATTTACAACTATATCAAGACCACCTAAAAATTTTAACAAAAATCTCCGCAGGGGAATCTATGAGATTTTGTTAAGTTTACAGGGAATTGAAGAATCGCAATGAATGAATGATGAGCATCTTCTAATTCAAGCAAACGTGTAAGTGGCACGTCTGTTCAGTCGTAAGCATGAAAATTGTTTTGCTTCTGATAGTCCAACTTACCACCGTTGCTTGATCCTTGAACGTCATAAAATCCTTTACGGCCCATCGTGATGAGATTTGGATTCTAGGCACGATCTTCGGATGTCCTCGACGATTATTAGCTCTCCGACCTAGCGTTTTAAGTCTCCAAATTTCAAAGACAATACCATTTACACAATTCACGGTCTCTGCAGAACGGAATGTGCTTCAGAGCAAACAAACATTGGTAGTAAAGCTGATCTAATAGGTTAATGACAACCTAATAAAGAGACGCAAAAATGCCCACACGATCTCTACCGGCAAGGAGACACCACAAGCATTACTGAGCACAACACAGCACCTCCTACCACACTCAGAGTCAATGTTGCACTGCCGCCATCGCGCGCTCGCGCAGCCGCGGCGGCGAACGGTGTTTCTGCGGGTTGCGCCGGGCGTTTCCGAATGTTCAAATCAACCATGAATGATAATATAATTTGACACGACACGCATTCTATGTAAATTTCGACACAGACTAGTCGCTAGACGTACATTTTTTTCAGAAGCCATCTCATGCCATTTTCGCCCGTGCTTTACTGTCTCTCGACACTTTTTCTTCCTTATAACTTCGTTGTTGCTGTTGGAGCCTTCTTTAGTCCCAGCTGGAACTCTTCAAGATTGCTTATAAGCTATTCTCCGTTACTTTTTCAGACCTACTTCACATCTTAAGGAGCAATCCATAATATAATAGGGGACTATCTTCTTGTCTAGACGGTTCAGTAAACTTTCATAATTAATTCGGTAGCCTTTCAAAGAATTTATTCGGTGGTATGTTTAAAGCTACTTTACCAGTGGCGGACATCACCAAGCGTTCAAGCCATTCAGCCAGGACCATATTGAGTTAAATACCGCGACTACTAAGCGTTCAATTCAGCATTCATTAAGGTGGCTTAAATGGGCATGATGGTGAAATAAAAGGCCACGGACAATTACAAATAACAGCAGTGATTACCTTTGGAATTTAATAAGCGCATGCATTGCAGACTGATAAATCTTTAAATGACATGCTTTACGAGCATTAAAGACCGTTGGTCTAATACGGATCTTACAGAAACTGTTCATGGAGCATATATACACAATGAGACCACTCCAGGGCATCTGACGGCATAACATGAACAAAGGAAGAGTGTACATTATTATTCATGGCGAGCTTTGTAGGTTTCCAAAGAGAATTGATTGATTGCTCGAACCTCCCTGCAAAATTACTCAGAACGGCCACCAGGAGAGTGCTGTGGTCTCTTCATCTCGGAGCAATCACTGAGGATAAGAAATTTACAATGCTTCGTAACCTAAAAACAGCTATTCCGGTCTTTTAATTCTTATGAATTTTAGACAGATCAATACAACTATTCCTGAAGCTTCGAAGCCAAGATGCCTAGCAAGCTTAAACTAAAACCAGCAAAACTCAATGTTACTAAACCGCCACCAGAAGCAAAGTGGCCTGACTTTCGTGCTTGAAGTTCCTGAATGAAGGGTGTCTGTGTTCGAGTTTATCTTGACAAGCCGACAATAAGGTCTTAAAGTACTCATTATGATACGCTCAGCACTCGCTCTATACACTCACATACCACTCATACATCTACACACGCCACTCATAGAGTCATAGTCATACAGCATACACACCATTCATACAGCGTGCACGCACCCCTCATACACCATACACGCACCACTAATACACCATACAAACACCACTCATGCACCAAACACGCACCACTCATACACCATACACGCACCGCTCATACAGCACACACACACCTCTCATACACCACACACACGCCACTAATACACCACCCACACACACGCCACTCATACACCATACACACACCACTCATACACCATACACACGCCACTCATACACCACACACACACCACTCATACATCATACACACACCACTCATACACCATACACGCACCAGTGCACCACTCATACACCATACACGCGCCACTCTGACATGTTGATTGCTTTAACAAACTTTCACCCACACGGAAAATATCACGCATCGCTAATATAATTTCAATATACGTAATATAAAAATAAGATGAGACTTCCATGTATTTAAATTTTATATTTATATAAAAAGGCATAAGTAAATATTTCAAGATTCTTTCAGCCATGCTCGCATTGAACACATTTATCATTTAGATATAATTGTTTGGAATTTACTTTAACTGAAACCTGATGCAACCCGTGCATCGATTAAAAAAATTCGTCACTGAGAAAATAATATCCTCTGTTCTTTAATAATATTAAGACACAGCAATGGTCAAGTAGCTTCTTACCTTTCAGATGTTTATGCCACAAAATTACAACAATGAACACCTCATCAATGTGAAAGAAAACAATAAAATTATATCTTTTAATAATAAAAAAATAACAAATTTTATAACCGTCAGCATAACTGCCAGCCAAACAAATCATATTTTTCCAAAGTCAGCAGAAGTCTAAGTTGTTAATGCCGCTTCACTCACCTCTTTTCACTCGACGAATGACGGCTTGTACAGAGAAGAAAAAAATGTAAAATTAAGTCACATTATTCAGCAAATACATTACATCCAAAGTGTTTGATGTCTGTGCTTTCATTGTCTATTCGCCACAAGGAGAAAATGGACGAAAAAATAATTTCATCTTTCTTTTAATTTAAATTACGAAAGAAATGTTTAATTATAAAACTGATAGTCCCAACATCTTGGGTCACAATAAATCCTAATTTTATTTATTATTTTATTATAAAGTCAGGAATATCAAACTCGGGCATACTGCAAACATAACACATTATATCTAAACAAAATCACTGAAGATCTGTAATGCACAATGTCAATGAACAACTTTACAGCTATACAATTACCATTCGAATTTAAAAGTATCACGATTCGTTATTAGTCTCGCCTATAATGTTAAATCTACGATTTCAGCTCGAATACTTAGCAATAATGACGAATTTTACTCACAGTTCTATTTTGAATGAATAAAATGAACGAAAATTCAAAAAATAAAAAATAGGCCTTGAAGGAATAAATGAAGCAATAAACATTGCAAGTGACAAGAGAAATATCATTCAATATTTTATAACGCAAATTTTGGGTGAATTTGATTGAAGTAAAGCAGGAATCCCCTTTGAAAGTTGAGCCGCGAGGATAATTTCTGTGCAAAAAGTAAAATTGTATGCCAATTAACGTTTTCTTTTTTTTCTTGCGCAGAGAAAACAGTTTTTGTAGGTATACTGAACTATTTATTCTGACTTCGTCGAACGTAAATTGTAAACACTGAAATATATATCACATTATCACTAAATTTATTTGTAAAAAATACTAGCAAATAACAAGATATCGAATTACACAAGCTATAAATATATTCATTTGAAAACGATAAAATTTAAGAACTAACATACGAGCTTCAATTTAAACTCTTGAGTTAGGTCAACAGTCAATACTTATTTTCAAAGCTTCTTTTCAGCAGAAGACGTTAAACCCTGACAGATTATACGTTTCGTATTACTGATAGGAGTTTTAATGAGAACATGCCGAAATCTAATTGATTTATTCTTGCGTCCAGAAGAACGACTGATAGTCCGAAGGATATTTGGGGAATTGAAGCCATTGTTAAAGCATTTTCGAAATAGAAACATACCTTTTGCGTAGCTGGCCCCTTGAGCATGTGAAGGAGGAAATGAAGAGCGATTCCCAGGAATTAGTGACTCATGCTCAGGATAAAGGAAGTTAGAAAAGCCTCGAATGCCGCCCGAGTCAAGTATACCTCGCAGGCTACCAGAGTCTAGCCCGACAGAACCACTTCCGTCGGTGGTGTACCCACCCTCGCTGTCAGCAGGCCGGTATCCTCCACGGTAGTCGTAATGGTAGTCTTCTGCTGTACGGTAACGAAGTTTGGGGCTCATGGAATAGCGAGCCTGTGGGTCCCTCAATGGTGGAGTATGCAGGGGAGGAGTGTGGTTGGAGATAGGTCGGAATGGAGGCGTGTTGGTACATCTTGTAGGAGTTGGTCTAAGAGGAGATGCTTGACTTTGGCGCAGTGGTGGCGTGGCAGAATGCAGCGACGGAGGAGTCATAGATTGCCGAGATGGAGGAGTATTACAGTTGCTTGGTCGGTCCAAAGACTCACGGCTGATCCGCAAATCGACAGGTGATGTGCCGAAATTGCGAGAAAATCCAGACAGACTTTGATCTCGAGGGAGTGTTTGCTCCCTAGTTAAAGCTGTCTCTCTAAGACCCACACTTCGAGATATGTCCAAAAGATCACTTTTAGTTGCACTGCTTGAATAATCTCGAAAGTTGTTTTCTACGAATTCCCCAGAGGAAGCACTTGGATAATTATTCCTTTCATGATAAGTTTTGCCATTGAGGCCACTTTTGTTTGTGGAAGGAAACTCGTTAGCTAAGTAACTAGGGTTCCTAGCTATTACATCACAGTTTCGAGAGTTGAGCAAGTTTCTACTCAGAGTTCCTGGATATGCATATTTACCTAAGTAACTATTGCTCTCAGGAGCAAGATTGTCGTAGTCTCTGTGCGTCAGCTCACGCGTGTCATTCATTGTTGGACGTCGATAGGAATAGTACGGCGGAGGGGAGTTCTTATCAAGTTGCAAAACATTAGCTAATTCTTGGAAGGTCGTGGACCCAGATATTTGGCTTCTGCCATTCAAATAATTACTCGGAGGCTGCTTGTACCTCCCTATTGTATTAGTGTGATACTTGTCAGACGATGGCCTGTAATCTTCAGAGGCGTATCGGTGAGGACCTGAAGCGGCGGGGTACGGAGGCGGCGGCTCCTGCTGTTGGTATGATACATGAGGGCTTTCGTTGGCCTGGAGTCCAGGGTAAGCAGGAGGAGGTCGAGTCAGAGAAGAGTTGAGGCTACTGAAGTCACTGAAGTAACTCATCCTTTATGAGATGGTCCTCAGCGACGAATAAGGAATTTGCGCCGCATCATGATGCGGTCGAGACATTCAGTGGCGTCCGCTAGATAGTCGGGAAGCATTCCACATGCGTGGGTCCTGAAAAAAAAAAGAAATTTATCAAGCCGGTCGTCCTCACGCGCAGTTCCCTAGAAATTAATAAATAGAATGCATAGATTAGAAGGTGTAGTAAAACATGTCAGCACATCTTACAAAAAAGAAAAAAAAAATCCTATAAGTATCTTGGTTTTCTGATAGCCAAGTATCTTTCGTTCAACTAAAATAGTTAGAATTAAAGTAAAAAAATGGGTTTTCATCAATTTATCTACATACAAAAAATATAACTCATAAAAACATTCAGTTCAATAAATGCCCAAAAAACGTCAGAAAGGACTTAGGGAAATACGAATCGTGGACGAAGAACTTATGTGGGCTCTGGAGCTCAAGAAATGGACGGAAAGCTGCTTTCAATGTTTGACAATAGAAAAAAAGACCGCACAGAAAGACCTGCAATCGGAAAGTGCGCATTTCTGATCATAAGACTGGCAAGCAGCATTGGCATGGAACTGATAGTACGGCAAACCTGAATCTAAATAATGATGAATTTTTCATTAAAATATATTTAAAAAGAGGAGTCTGAAAATTATACTTCAACTATTTCCTGGTAAAAATAACGCTTAATGCAGGATAAACATCGGGTTTTCGAGTAGAAAATGTTGATAGAAACTTTCGGGATTTCCTCGGGAACACATAACTTTTTACCATGACGAAAGCTCGGGAAAAAGGCAGCTTTTAAACAATGAGATGCTTTAGGAAAGTATTATGAGCAAATAGTTTTGTGATGTTTGGACTCATTTAATGAAGCCTTGTAATGGCTGTTCAAATAGTGCGGACGTCGTTTAATTTAACCGAAGAGTTGACGCAACCAAAAGATTCTTGAATCGAGGAAAATAGAGAAATTGCTCTGGATTGATTACAGAAAATCGTAAGATAACAGTAAAAGGAGTAAACTTCGGGATGATATGCAAAAAACTCAATTAAATAATAAGCAAAAAAAATTATAACTGTATCAGTTTCTTCCCGAGTGGCATGTCTTTTACGCTGCAGTTTGCATGAAGTGAAACCAAAAATCTCATGTTAGGGGTACACGCAAAAATGAATAATTGCTGAAGTGGTTGTATGCATTTTGGAACAATGAATTGAATACTATTTGTTTGGTTTGTTTGGTTAGAATAGACGAAGCAACGTAAATACTAAACGATTTTTGCTTCAAAATTCTTTGCAACAGAACGATTCGGTGTTGTGGTGGAAAAAAAAACGTACGCCGCAGCAAGGGGACACTAATTGAGCGTCTCGGCAAACACTGCAGTCGGGGGAGAGGCAATGGTGACTTTTGCTGTTGTCCATTGAAAATAAAGGTCAGATTGAATTGTTTCTGGCCTCCAATGTAAAGCGGCTGGCCGACTATTATTTTCATGATGGATTCCAAAGACGTAGAACGAACTTGGATGAATTTAGAAATTTTCAAGTATACATTTTATAATTATTGATGGAGGTACATATTAAATTTAATAGTTTGGTGAGATACTCGTACTTTCAATACGAATTAACTATAAAAAATGAAGTATTTTTCAATAAAAAATAAGATTTTTAGTATAGAAAAGTAGGAATTTCACAAACTACACATAAGATTTTGTAATACTTGTTTTTAGCTCTCCTCCGCACTCGCGAGCATTGCAACTGAGGGCGTTTGTATTTAGATTTGAGCTGTTGAAGACGTTGCTTGTGGAACACAATCGTACAACACAGCTATGGGAAACAAGAATGTGTGCTGTCCTTCATGATACGATTGGCCTCCATGCCTGATTGTTTTCGAGTCTCACCGAAAATTTGTGTCTCGCAGATCGACTGCGTCCTTCAGCAAAAATATGAAAATTAATTAAATCAAGTGACTTTAGATAAGCGAGGGAAAATTATAATATTAATGTAAAATTTTTTAAAAATTACACTTGAAAATTAGCCCGCAATATAAAGATTTCGTTCTAAAAAGGTAGACTGAAAATCAGATAGTTTCATACGTTTGAAAATCATGAAATGATCTTGATTTATGAGAAAATTTCCACGAAGCTTCTACACGCAAACCTACGAAAGTTCTAAAACTCAAATCTAAGATTCCATTATATTATTAAGGTTGGAAGAGACGAAGCGAGGGATCTGCTAAATAATGTACAGCACTTACAGTCCTGACGCGAACTTAAAGTGGCACAGTTGCAGTATCATTTTCACATGCACCGCACCCAAGATTTTCAAGATAAATCAAGTGTCCGCATTATACTGCACGTACTTGCACTTGAACGGACGCCGGAACTTTGAGGATCTTAGAAATGACTAATAACATCGCTTGATATAATCTTGATGCAATCAAGTCGCTTGACTCTGTAGGGATATTTTTAAAGGGGAACGCTGGAAAATTCTAGAATTAATTATTTTCATAGTACATGCGTAGTTGTTCGTATGCAAGGTCTCGTAGAGCGATGCATGCCATGAAATATCTTCACTAATTAATTAATCATTTTTTATTCCCTATAACTAATATCGCAAACAATTTAATATATACATTAAAGTTTTCACAAATAACATTATTATTAGCGCTTTGATCTTTTTACACATTCACTCGCAAGTGGCTGACGAAATTTCAATCAACAATCAATGTAATTTTCGATCTAGCCTTCAGGTAGAATTTTCGGATGGTACAGCGGCGATCGAAACCCATCATAATATAGATCGGCTGATCAAGTCATGAGCAACCAACAGCCAGGCCGGGGCTACCGTTCTCATAAAAATGCATGGAAAAACGAAGCCAATGCTCAGAAGACCACTCAGCAACAGCTAAACGCAGCTCAAGCTCGCTATATGCTGATTACGAGACTCTAAATAAAGATTTGATATCGACACGCATCGATGGTGCATTGCAGCACCCTGGCTGAGCTCAGCGTTTAGCCAGGGAAACCGTTGATTGCATTTATAGAATGGAAGCGTGACGAATTTTACCCTCGATCTAAATGTGATCGTAAAATTGCAATTGAATGCTCGCTGAAAATTGCGATTTTTTAATAGGTCGTTTTGACTCGAACTTTGTTATTTTGTTATACTATATAATTTGTTACATTATAATACCCATCTAACTCTTCCATGGATTACATATATTTTTTACAACACATTGAAAGCTGGACTGTCGAAAAAGCTGGACTGTCACAGATTTCTTATCACTCGTGGGAAGTTGGCCCAATCTCAGCCAGTCATGATCTCCAAGTTAAATGTTGCTAAACTGAATCTGACAATTTGCACACAATTTGATCTGACAATTTGAATCTGACAATTTGAAAACACAATTTGCTTCATGGGACTCCAATTTGACAATTTTTCTGCTTAACGTTAAGAATATTGCGAACCTGCTTAATGTATGCAATTTTGTTTCACTAACAATGAATATTTAGTTTTAATTTACTAAAAATTTTTATAGTTAGAATTACTTCGTCGCGTCACTTTGAGAGTCGTCCACTTTGTCGTCACCCAAGCGCATAACATATGAAGCTTAAAAACAAGTTAAATAACAATCTGTAATCTCAAGTTATGAGCCAGCGAGCCACTTCCTCCGTCATTAAGGTAGAATTTATTAAGAGGCAATTTTTTAGTATAGAAAAGTTACTTTCGCAGGAATATAATTTATTATAAATTACTTTCGCAGGCAATTTTTTAGTATCGAAAAGTTACTTTCGCAGGAATATAATTAACAACATGACCTCAATTATGCTATGGCCCGTAAAGAATCTTAGCTACGGAATATATAAAAATTGTTCATGTAGACATCGAGGAAAAAATCTAATGCCTCGTCGCGTTTTGGACAACCGAAAAATACCGCTTATTTGAGTTCTGCATTGATACCAGTTTTTAGCACACAAAAATACCTTCCACGTACAATTACCGTCCTATCCTAATTTAAAGACCAATCTACAATTCATCAAGTTGTTTCTATTTAGGTTTAAAATTAAATTTATTATGCTTGAAGTCATGTTAACAAAATACCTTCCACATTACCTTCCTATCCTAATTTAAAGACCAATCTACAATTCATCAAGTTGTTTCTATTTAGGTTTAAAATTAAATTTATTATGCTTGAAGTCATGATAACAAAATACCTTTCACATTACCTTCCAATCCTAATTTAAAAACCAATTTACAATGCATCAAGTTGTTTCTAATTAGGTTTAAACTTAAATTTATAATGCTCGAAGTCATGTTAGAACATTGATTTCGCTAATTTCAGTCTTTCGCAAAGTTTATGAAAAGAAAGGCTAGAGAAAAACGTTATAACTGGACACGCGCAACTGCATGAGGGCCCCCCTTTGAATTCATTAGTGGACATTTGAAAACTCATCTGCGATTCTAATTAAAAAAAGTGAGTCGGGTACTGTACAGAGAATGTCGAAATTAATTCAACCGCTGGTGAACCCAGAGTATATAGTTCTGGAAAGATGTTGAGCTAGTATCCTATTAATTCAATAGATGACGTTGATTCTTTTCAATTACATATATACAAGATGAGAAAGTAAGAAGCAGTTTCAGAATTGTATTATTGATACTATAATGTAATGTAAACCTTTGTGAATATATCTGAATACGATAGATATTGTGAATAGACAAGAATATCCTCACTTAATTTCGTTTAATTTGTGCAGACCAATTGGAATTCTATAAGATAGAAGGTTTTAGCCGCAGGACAGTCGTTAGACGCATAAATCTTTCCTTGCACGATAACAATAATTAAAGAGAGCGCACAAATAGAGTTAATACAGAAATTTCACAGGGAGTAAAATTTTACACGTTCGAATCAAAACAAAGGAATTGCTATAGATTAGGTGTAAACACGAAGAATATTCCGCAGTCAGGTACCAAACTCAATCATAATCCTACGAAAACGATCCCAAAGTTCCACAGGATAATAATTGCTACACGTCGAGCACTTATAAGCAGCTAACATCAGAAGCTAAACTTGAATAAAGTTTCTTGATTCACTCTTCGGCTTCACGTAAAGGAGAAATTGGACAACTTCTCTGAGCTGCGCCACTGCAAAGCAATAAATCTCGAGCAGAGAAGAAAAAAGTTGAAAATTTTCCGGTAGCGTTCAGTGCATCGCACGTCGCAAGGGCCGCTGCAGCTAGAATGATTGAGACGTTCAAGTTGTCGGACAGACG